AGAAGAAGAAGAAGAAGAAGAAGAAGAGGAGGAGGAGGAGAAGAAGAAGAAGAAGAAGAAGATGAGGAGGAGAAGAAGAAGAAGAAGTGGAGGAGGAGAAGAGGAGGAGAAGAAGAAGAAGAGGAGGAGGAGAAGAGGAAGAGGAGGAGGGAAGAAGAGGAGGAGGAGGAGGAGAAGAAGAAGAAAAGAAGAAGAAGAGGAGAAGAAAAGAAGAAGAGAAGAAGAAGAAGAAGAGGGGAAGAGAAGAAGAAGAAGAAGAAGAGGGGAGGAGAAGAAGAAGAAGAAGAGGAGGAGGAGGAGGAGGAGGAGAAGAAAAGGAGAAGAAGAAAAGAAGAAGAGGAGGAGAAGAAAAGAAGAAGAGGAGGAGGAGGAGAAGAAGAAGGGCGGTGATCTCTGTGAACCTGTGAATCATGCGAGTTCACTGAGATCGTCCCGCAGCGGCGAACCACTGCATCAGCGTCTATGGTTATACGATCTCGGATCAGTTTGATCAAGTTGTAGACATTTTTAATGAGACATTTATGTAATTAAATGGAGGAGTAGTAGTTAATAGTCTCTTACTGGCCTGTTTAGACAAGCTCTCCATAAAACAAACAAAACAAGCCCTTGCAAATTAATAATAATTATTTTAAAGACGCATAGACCTATTATACAGACACTTCATTTTTAATGGTATTTTATTATTTTGATTGCATTTAATATACTTTAAAGAAAGCACTTTCATTGGGTTTGTAAAAGCTGTTTTTATGAAGTTTTTGTTGCATTTACAGTTTTGACCAGCAAGTGTCACCAGCGTGTGGTGTTTCGAGCGCTTTGAAACACTGATTCATTTTGCGAAGAAATTGGTTCAATTGATACGAAGCTTCGAAATGGTTCGTTTCTTAGTTGGGGACACTTCATTTCCAGCGATATCGTTTACTTGATTGCAAAGATACTATTTAAACTGAGCTGGATGTTGACATCACTGAATTCAATGATGAACTGTCTTTAACTGAAAAATGAGTGTCTACTATAGTCATTTTGCATTATTGACACACTATTTTCCTAATTAATGCTGTTCAGTTGCTTTGCCACAATCTGTATTGTTAAAAGAATGGTTCGTTTCTCCCATCACTAGCAAAAACAAGACAGATAAACATGGAATACGCTCAGTGGTGTCCACATACAGCTGAACAAGACTTCGCGATCTGAGTGTGTTTGTGTGCAGCATTTATAGTCCTCCAGACAGGAAACAAGAGTGTATGCAATTAGTCCCTGGGCATGGGGTGTTATGGGAAATGGAGACCAAGAAACAGTGGAAAAGGTCTGAGATGGAGTGCCCTCTAGAGGAGCTCATGGGCACTCCAGCTGGACATCGTGACATTACCATGTTTGGAAATGACAATATATCCTAAATATTGACCTAATAAATCAACAATCAAATTTAAATTCTACACATTTCTATATATAATTTACAGCTCAAAGTGATTTCGAGGGAAAACCAGGAAATAGTCAGGAGACGACAATACTGGCTGTAGAAGACTTTATTTGAGCTGATGTTACGTTTCCATGTGTTTGTGTTAGAAAGATATGATTAATGCAAAACATAAACCACACCAGCTATATATGAGTCTCTTAAAAGACACATATAATCTTATGAAATTAGACATCCTAAAGAATATTAAACATTGGTGTTAAGAGCACATTATGTCATGATAATTAAAATACAGAAATACAACAGATTTTTGCCACTTTTAAAACACAACAAGCAGATTTACTCAGAACTTACTAAAGAACAAATGAAACATAAAAGAAAATCATAATAACAATAAAGTATGAAAACTGTTAATGCAAGTAAACACAAACATGCACATGTTTTTTACACTTAATATCTGCTGCAGATGAAGTTGAGTTTGTGAGTTTCAGGAAGGCTTATCCAGCACTGACCTCCTCCAGACTGAACTGCTCCTTTTCTCTTCTCAAGGCTGCAGTTTTCCTGTTTCAACTGATCAAAAACAACATGCAGAACAAACACTGTGGATGAATTTGTCATCTCAGAGATGTAACTTTAAGAGATCTGGAGGTGATGATGGATTGTGTGTGTTTTGTGAGGATCTACTCACCTTCATGACACACAAAAGGATATTGATTGGTGCAAGAGACATCAAACCATTGTCCCTGAGAGTCGTGTTTGACCACTGCACAGTTTTCACCTCCTCCACTATTATCAGGTTGACCAGTGTCCCAGTATCTGAATGAGGAGTCATTCTGATCTGACCACTGCCATGAGTCTCTGACTCTGAACAGATTGATCCAGACTTGTGATTTAGGTGAATTGGTTTTTCCGACCATGATATTAATGAGCTGCTCAACCTGTTGATTCTCATTCTGGTTTCTTACACTGACCAGATCAGTGTGATTCTGTCTGCAGTAACTCTGAGCGTCTCTCCAATTCATCGTCTGATTGACAAAGACGAGTCCTGTATTCGCTTTAAGAAAAACAAATGAGAAAAGATTAATGAATCAGTTTGTACATTGTTCTTATGCTGCTTTATGGTTTGGATGTTAACAGGAGCAGTGGCAGAATCATCAGAAACACATCATTCAAAGACTTGAGCTGCTTCTACAGCTGGTGATATATTGAATATTCACAATATAAGATATTTTAAAGTTATACCATTGTCTATCTAAATTCTCAATTCTGATTGGCTGGAATGAGATCCATATGGATCACTGTCTAAGATATTTTAGGCTCTTTAATTGCAAGTTTCCTTTACCACATAGTGTGACAACAAAAGATCAAAGTTTGTCCAGTGAAAAGTCTTTTGTTTAGGACAATACAGAAATTGTCTGAAATAGCACCGAAAAGTGTGACAAATATGCACAGTCCCCTCTATACTCAAAATCAAATTAAAAAGTAATAGTGTTCAGTATTGCATTAAAACTAGGGTGACCATACGTCCTCTTTTTCCCGGACATGTCCTCTTTTTGGACCTTGAAAAATGCGTCCGGCTGGGATTTCTAAATCGCCCAAAATGTCAGGGATTCGGCTTTACAGTCGCTATTCATTGTCTGCGTTTTAGTTTTAGAGCCCTGAAGAAGACTGTGTCCAGTCCCGCCCACTCCCGCAAACATTCTAACATTGCATATAATTTTCGTGCATCAGTGGGCCGCTATCAATATGCAGAGAATATAATCTCTTTTGAATGAGCGCTCGCTGTTCACTTTCATCACATGTGCTCTAAAGAAAATCATATATTTGTCAATAGGCTCAGGATCTGTTGAGCAGCAACATGTCCTCTTTTTGGACCTTGAAAAATGCGTCCGGCTGGGATTTCTAAATCGCCCAAAATGTCAGGGATTCGGCTTTACAGTCGCTATTTATTGTCTGCGTTTTAGTTTTAGAGCCCTGAAGAAGACTGTGTCCAGTCCCGCCCACTCCCGCAAACATTCTAACATTGCATATAATTTTCGTGCATCAGTGGGCCGCTATCAATATGCAGAGAATATAATCTCTTTTGAATGAGCGCTCGCTGTTCACTTTCATCACGCGTGCTCTAAGGAAAATCATATATTTGTCAATGAGCTCAGGATCTGTTGAGCAGCAAATCCTCCAGCATGGTCTGTCAGCCATCTCTCCTCTCTGATCAGTCAAATCTGACTCCTGCAGCTTGTGTTGGATGCAGGGTTGTCAAGATTTTATTATTTGTTTTTTTTTTGATGGAATTGGGCTTTTAAACTGTTGCCATGGCTTGATCACCCCCAATCCCCCCCATGTTGCATAAATTACCTTTTGACTGAAATGCTTGTATTGAAACATTTTGCATTCTACCTATGATAAAACTGTTCTAGATATTACGTTTTGTGAAGGACGGCCACTGGTAGGAAGCTATTTAGCTGTGTTTATGATAAATATGCTTAACACTGACTGTAAAATATGTATATTAGGTATGGAAATGACATATTTTGAGTTTTGATATTTGAGATTTCGCTACTTTGGGCGCTTTCGGCATTAATTTAACCACCAACCAACCACTCCCCAGCCCCCCGCCCCGCCCCGCCCACTGTCCTCTATTTGGAAAACTAAAATATGGTCACCCTAATTAAAATTTGGTATATGGTGAATGCATAAATGAACTCACTGTTGTTGCAGATGAAATGTCGGGTATCAAAGCATGCCAAATCATGCCATTCTCCATTGAACATCACAGCACAATAATCTCTGCCTTCTGGTTGTCCAGTAGCCCAGTTCAGATATAGCGCAGCTTCACCTGAAGACCACTGCAATTCATCACGACTCGTCTTCTGCAGACCAATCCAGACAAACTGAACACCTCCATCATTCACACTCTTCTTCAGCTCGACACATTCAGTTACGGAGCAGAGAACTGTGAAAGAGAGGCTTTGCTTTAATGATCTTCATAACAGGATCAAACCTAATGAAACTATAAACCATAAATAAAACCACAAACACACTCACCAATGAGAAGAAGAATGAAATATAGAGTTTGGTCCATTTCTGAGGAAGAAAAAATTAAGAGACTACAACATGACATAATTAAATAAATAAATAAATAAAAATAAATAAATGAATAAAATTAAATAAACTAAAAAATATATAAAATAGCAGCAGAGTGGAATTCGCATTCATTCAGATAATATTAACATCTCAAAGTCAAGTTTTAGTTAAATAATGAAAATGTGAGTTGTTCTTACTTTTGAGGCCGTGTTTCTGTCCTGAGTCTGATGTTTCTGTCTGCAGCTTCAGACTGTGTGATTATCATATCTGCTCTCATCTGTCATTCAACACGTCACATAATTTTGTTTATGACTCTAAAACAAAAGCCCTATTTAAGTTTTCTTCTTCATTCATGTGTATGTCCACATGTTTCTCTGTATTTTTGCTTTAATTTGATGAAAGTGTGTTTTAACATAAGTTAAAATACCAGGACATAATGTGAAATTGATTTAAATACAGAAACATTAAATAATAGAAATTGTGAAATTATAAATTAAGAAACATACACACTGTAATGACAAACAGCAGAGTTTAAAGGGATAGTTTACCCAAAGAAGAAAATTATGTCATCATTTACTCTGCCTTGTTTCGTGAAGAGTGTTCGGGTATAGTATTTCTTGTCTATACTTTAGAAGTCAATGAGGGTTTGAGGCTGTATTTTCGTGCCATCAGCCAATCAGTGGTAAAATGAAGTGAAATGATGCAAGACGTCCAGGAGTTTGTTTAATCATAATCATACTTAATCATACTTAAACATAATCATCTCAAAAATAAAGAGTAAAATATACATACCTGACATTACAAAGATACATAGTGTGGAGATTTACACATAATTTTTATTTTTTTTTTTCTTTTTAAATTTAAATGTTACTTCCTCTATATTTGTGTATTTGTCCACATATCTTACTCTTGACTGTAACTGCTGTGTTTATAATCAGGCCTCAAAGTAGGAAATAGTATGTGCCGATATTCCCCTCATTTGCTTTTTGACGTCAATCAGTTAGTATCAGTATCAGCAAAACACGCTGTATTAAATTTACACTTTCTCAAGCACATACTATATATCAGCACACACAGCTAATGTTCTTATGGTCACATTTCCTCAATAAAAATGAATCTGAAAGCATCAGTTAACTGTCCAAGCATTGAAGGGATGTGATGTTCATTGTGAAGCTGGAATGGCCTGTTTGATTCTATCAATGCACAGCAAACCACATATTCAAACGCTGTGTTTATCATCACAGGTGACTTCAACCGTTGTAATTTACCAAATGTGCTTCCAACATACAAACAACAAAACATTTTAGACCAGGTCTACAGTATGTAAGGCCACTTTGATCTCCTCATGGAGCCAAAACTTCACGAACAAAACAGATGCCATGCAACAGAACAATAAACTTTCTAATCTGAAGATAAGGTCTACAATTTGTTTAACTGTCCCTTCACCCATCCTTAAGCCCCCTCCTGGACATATGGCCCAGGGGTCTCATTTATAAATGTTGCGTACACACAAAATGGGCATAGAAATATGCATATGCAATTTTCCACACATATATCTGGATTTATAAAATATAAACTTGGCGTAAATATGTAGGCACCATGCGGATATTGTAGACCATGCGTTCAAACTATTTTTCCTGGAGTGAGAAAAGTAATGAAGTAAACACTGATTTTAAACTCTGTTTTCATGTCGATACACACATTTACATTAAATATTCCACTCTCATTAATGGAGATAAACACTGAAATTAGGCTACATACACTCTAAAAAATGCTGGGTTAAACATGACCCAGCGCTGGGTTAAAAAGGGACAAACCCAGCTATTGGGTTGTTTTGACCCAGCGGTTGGGTTGTTTTGAGTCAAAACGTGACGCGGTCTTTTCGCGTGATGGAAAAGCCTGATGCTTTGCATAAAATAAACGATTTTATTCATAAAGATACAGAATATAATACTTTGTTTGGATGTTAAAACATGTCCTCAGAGCTGTTTATTGTTTGTTTATTGGCAGGTTATGGAGTCACAGCATGTTTCGGCTACACTCTAAAAAATGCTGGGTTGTTTCAACCCAACTTTGGGTCAAATATGGACTAACCCAACCGTTGGGTTACGTTTTTACATTCAATTTTTAACCCAGAAGTTGGGTTAGTCCAAATTTGACCCAAAGTTGGGTTGAAATAACCCAGCATTTTTTAGTGTGTAGAGTGAAACGCTGGGCGCCGGTCCGTTAGCAGTTCCCCGCTGAACACGACTCCAGCTTGGGCACGAGAACCAGCGCCGTTACGATGGAAACAGAACAACAGAGACTGGTCGATTACACGTGAATTACTTATGTTTAATGTTGAATTTTTGTTCTAATGTTTGTTAAACGAGTTTAAATATAGGCAATATGTACAGCCTATTAAAAATGATATAAACAATGCTTTAAATTATAAATAAAGGAAGTTATCATGCAAACCAGTGGTATTATTTTAGAAAAGTTTAGAGGATTTAAGTTAATCTGTAAGCCTTACTTAATGTATGAAGTAAAAAATAAGCTAGTAATATAGTAAAAATTAATAAACCCATTAGCTGGGTTAAATCAACCCATTATGCTTGGTTAAATAACCCAATTTGCTGGGTAAATTTAACCCAAGATGGGTTATGTCCTATATTTACCCATCCCTTGGGTTAATAACAACCCAAATTGGGTTGTTTTTAACCCAGTGTTTTTTAGAGTGTATGTTCTAATGACAGTGAGGAGTGCTATAGGTGCACAATAATTCATCTTTAAATTAAACTGCATATTTCAGACCAGGAAAGTTCCCTAGTTCACTTGCTTTGGACCGGACCAAATACAATGTTGATTTTTTTGGTTTGGTGTGGTTCACTTTCACACTGCCCTTTTTGCAAGTGAACCAGAAATTGTAAACAAAACCACATGTGTGCTTAAGGTCATCCATTCATTGGTTCATCCATTCAACCGTACCAGAGTTTGTTTGGAAGCGGACCGAGACCACCTCTTCAGCTGGGTCTCGGTACAGTTGTTTGGTGAGCACCCGAGTGCGACTGCTGTATTCACACCTGCCCAAAAGATCCACACCATGAGGGGAAATTAACTTGAGTTTGATTCAATCGAACCAAACAAGGCAGGTATGAATACACCCTTAGTGAGATCAATGATCAATGATGCGCACTTACTTAAATATTATGGCAGACACTGCTGGATTTGGTGGATGAACAGTCCATTGTCCGGTTTGAATAATAGCTACTGTACAATCACACCATGTTAAACATGATGTCACGTGGATGGAAATATGCATGGAAATAATATGCAGATGAGGTTATGCATAGTAAAACTAGGCATTGTAAGCTCCATATATGGTGATTTTGGGGAGGAGATGGGGTGGAGATGCACATACGCACAATCTTCCCCTGACTGGAATTTATAAAGGGACTTTTGCACAGGTGCTGGCGTAAAATCTAGCTTTTGTGCATACATAAACTTTTAGGATGAAATCTATGGAGAGTTTTATAATACAGAACCTAGTTACTGACACTGTAGAAATATGGCATTAATGATATTTATTATTAATGTCACGAAAATTATAGGCTACTTATAGCCTGTTAAATATTGGGTAAAGTAAAGGCAATAAGTCACTTTTATAAAGGTTTGCTACTACTATATTTAACTCTGGATTCAAGAGTTAGCTTTTCATTAGGGCAACTAGTTCTAAAAAACTTTATTTGCAGAAAAATATGAATTCAATAATTAAGAGCCTGCAATATAATGGAATATTAATATTGTTAAATGCATTTTATTCAAAAATATAATTTGTTTCCGTCTGTTGTTTATTAATAAATTATTTATTTATTCCAACTGCCCTAATCCCAGCAAGACATTTATGGGGGACTGTGTGGGCCAGATGGGCTGAATTTTAGCACCAGTCCAGCCCTGATGATTCTCCTCTTCTAGGGCCAGAAAGAAGACCTTCTAATAATAAAACTATTTAAAGTAAACTGTATATGCTCAAAAGTTGTTGTTGTTCCTGGAAACCTGTTTGCTTTGACTTCATATATCTGGTGTTAATGCATTTATTATTTTAATGTGTTGTAGCCTGGAATATTTAGTGTGCATACTCATTGTATCTCTGTGTGTTGGAGATTTTATTTAATAAAAAAATTAAAATAATAATAATACTAATAATAAATAAATCAACTAATTATTCCTGTGGTAGAAAACGTTGTGGCACCAAGATAGGCTACTATGAAGGGGGGTCCTTGGGATTGCTATAGCCCCAGGGCCCTATGTGTTCTTAATCCGGGCCTGTCCATGTTCTGACATCATACCTGCACTCTATTACTTTCGCTTTTGAAAGCTGTATGTCAGACTATGCCAATGAGAGTGTTTGGGGCGGGCCGTGTTTGACCTGGAGCCATAATGTTGTTTGGAGCACATCTGTACAAATTAAGATTTTTTTTCCTATTTTTTTTGTGAACTTTAATGAATTCACAAATGTGTTAATAGTGTAAAAGTGCTGGGTTTCTGAAACGAACAAACATATCTATCTATCTATCTATCTATCTATATCTGAAGCCATCACTGGGGTACTTCCCTAAGGTACAAAAGTGGTAAAATAGATAAACCTTATTTTGCCTATTAGTTCTTTAGTACCAAGGGTACATGTAAAACTGATTTAATGAAATATCCTTTGCTTTGTATATGCAAATATACAAAAAAAACACAACCTGGTCTCATAAAAATATGTACCTCTGGGTACTTTTCTGCAACACCATTACTGCACGTTTTGCCGCAGTTTCAAAGAGAGATATCCACTGAGTGGCGCTAAAACACGGGTTCAATGTGTGAACACTGGCACTTTTTTATTACGTTGATATAGGTACGTATTGCTGTGTTTTTATTACGTTGCTTCAGGCACGTATTGTGGCGGTTCAGAATTCAAATATCCGGGGACTGTCGCTAAAAGTTAATGCTCTATCGTATTCATGCAGGGTATGC